ACCCGACGATGGTTCAATAAGATGTATAAAATGACTATTTGTACTATAAAACTGTACCCCTGCCCCTACTTGTATATTATTACACACACAAGGCCACCCTATACCAGAGTTACAGATTGATTTTTCATTACACAGTCTCTTGCACTGAAGAAAAATACTCATAATTAATTTGCGGCCCTAGTAGAGGGTCTTCTCTCGCTTTCTCTCAAATCAAAATAAACTAGCAAACATGAAAATTGGCAAAATGTATTAGAATGTAAAGTGTTGCGAACCCTTTAAACAAGGTGAATGGTAATATGCACGTTTAGACAAATTTTAATTTTAATTTCATCGCTGTCCATCGTAATCCCCCTATCATTAACACTGTCGGGGACGTGCGCACTAGCTCGTATGATGTAGACAGCGCGTGCTATTAAAGTGACCGGGGACTTATTAGCTATAGTGTAGTTACGACGATCAGTTTTTGTCTTGGTGCAACGGGCGTAAGCAGGGAGAGTAAACCTGGCGCACGGACGCCAGGCGTTGCGGTTTACGACAGTCGTAGCTGAGTAAATTTACGCCCTGTTGGTGCAACCGGGCCCAGGTGTATACCAAGTGGTTTAAATTCCTCTGCCCTACTTACTTCAACATTACCAATGGTGAGTGCTGCCTGATTCCTTCCAAAATCCACTACCATTTCTTTGGTTTTAGCTACGTTTAAAATAAGATCGTTACTCTCGCATCACCTTACCATCAACTCAACAGATTCTCTATGTGTACTCTCGTCATTATCAGTAACTAGCCCCACAAGCGTAGTATCATCTGCAATCATCCCCGTCCTTACACTAGTACAATCATAGGTAAAATGTATGCTATTTGAATTTATCCGTCCGTCGGTAAATAAATTTCAACAAAATCCAATAGAACTTTAAAAGACAGTGATAATGAAGAATGTGTTTATTGTGATAATTCAACAGCAGCTTAAAGCTCAAGTTATTTTTTTTATTCCATTCTTAAACAGTATTGAAAATCAGGAAACGCAGCAAGATTTTGATAATCAAACACGTTCATCTGACGAGACACAGGAATCACGTTACATGAAACCATATCATAATCATGAAAACATGGTAAGTCGTTTTCATTTTGAACAATAATTTGCATAAATGAGAAAATAAAAGTATTGACATATATAATTATAAATCAATGTAAGTAAATAACGACCGTGCTATGTTTACAATGTCTACATTTTTATTCATTCCCATATGGCGGATTATTATCTTATATAGCAAATTGAATAAGTCATGCCAATGAAACCTCTTGTGTAACAATATTTTAAGCTGAGAATGTTAAAAAATATTTTCGCTTGTATGAATGGTCTAGATAAAAGCGACAGAATACTACCGCTCAACCAATAAAATACAAATTACACGCTGCGACTCCCTAGCTCTTTAAAGGCTGTCTCAGTGGGTTAGATTAATGTGTAGGAGCAGGTTCTATGTAAAACGTTGATCAAATTTGTGTTTTTGGAGGCTGTTTATAATTATATTAATCAGTCTGGGTCAAATAACGTCCTGCTAAAACAACTAGAATAAAAATTGAAAACGAAAACTATTTATCATAATTTCGAAGCACAGCCGGAAGTACATGTATTACCGGCTCAAGGTCACGACCTGGATTTTATAACGCTCACGCTTCCAGGAAAATGTATTTTCTTGTTATATTAATGGTTTAACCCACTGAGGCAGTGTCCATGTTGAATATTGTTTACTCTAGAAAATATGACAGTCATTAAAATATAAACGCGGAAACATATGAAAAATATTAACAATGATGGAAGTCAAGTGTTGCCATATATTTCTCTGTAGAGCGAAACGTGAAAACTGATATTTATAAACGTGTCACTAGTGTCTCCTGAAAATAATGTAGGCCTATACCACTGACGGTGCCTATTTATGCTCGCAGTTTCCTGATTATTCCAGGGTTTTGGTCTTGATATTGAGGACGACGTGGACCCACAGTACGCGGCACTTGAAGTTAGGACTGATTACACCGTCCCTACAATAGACGTAGGTTAATCAATATTTAATGTGTTACTTATCATTTCAATCAGAATGTTTTGTGTAATATCACAAGCTGCTGCCGGTGTGGCAGGAGTGCACGTCCTCGTAACGCAAGTCCGCCCGGACACTAAGTCCTGGGAATGTAAGTCCTAGGGCATGCATTGCTAGGAATGGAAGTCCTAGGACATACGTACGTTACTAGGATTCAATGTCTGTAGGACGAAGGCTCCCAAGTAATGCAAGTCCTACGTGTAGTAAAGCACGTCCTAATGGGACGTGCGTTCCTAACATTTTAGTAACGCATGTCCTATATAGTTTACACCGAGAAATTACATGAATAAATAGATATAGAGGTATACTAGATTTAAAGATATAACAAGGATTTGCTTTATTTCATTTTATTTTAATATTTTACGATCTTTTTTATGTTCCGATAGGCAGTTTATATACAAATTAATGAAGTAACAAAACACGGTTTCCATAGTTTTTCTTCATTTTATTTATTTTGTATATTTTTCTTGTAGTAAACGCATATTTTTGCATGTGTCATTGACCTTCTTAGGCCTTCAAATGAGGGGAATATCACTTTACACAAAACACGGGATCTCCGTTCTTAGATTAATTTTTCGGTTTAGTTTAACAGAAACTGAAAAATAACCCCAAACTCAATGGAAATTTGCTTTTGGATTTAAGGCAAATCAAGACAGTTTAGAATTTGAAATTGTATATAATGTTCTGTTATATTCCTTTGGTATTTTGGCGCTTTGAGGCTTAAAAAAAAAACAAAACAAAACAAAAAACTAGTTGTAATAAGTGTAATAATCACATAATTTAGAATATTATACATTAAAAACATCAACAAACTGTTAAGTATAATTATCCGAGTCGGGGGTTGGAGGGGGGAGGCAAGGTCAGGTCAAAGGTAGGTCTCGAACCCAAGGGCGTAGCAGTGCAATTAATGAGCACTTACCTTACGGTCTTGCACGCTAACCACTACACAGACGAGCTAAAGTTGCAAACCACACATTTTTTGTCTGATATATGGCTCACCAGAAGGATTTCATACACATTTATAGTTTTGTCATTTAACCGTATTATTGCGTAAGGATAGGACTTTCAAATGACCGGACTTACATTACTGTCATACATGTAGGTGTAACAGGAATAAAAGTCCGCCAGTAATATAAGTCCTACCTACTCTAATTATGAGCCAGGAACCAAAGTCCTAGTAGGACTACTATCCCGAGGTCCGTAGGACTTGGATTACTGTTACACCGGTTCTACCTTGATTTGTTATCTAGGTTGTTTTTACATGTAAATGTATACAGCGCTAATATACGTGTTGCACGATTTTAAGGGATAATCGTTATTACTTTTATTATTATTATCATTATTAATAGTAATATATGTATGCAGACATTCATTATTGTTGGGATATAGTTCATTCCATGGTGATATTTATCCACAATACGCAACAGCATGAGATAACTAGTAGCATGCCGTGGGCGTCTAACCATGTTTTTATTTGTTTTCAGTACTCAACCATAGGACCGACTGAGTACACTCGCCCTTACGTTCCTCAACACATGAGAAGGAATGCAAGGTTTACGTAAACTTAACTAAACCGCTGCACAAAATTGAACGCAATGTAGCCTCTTCAAGTTGTGCTTTTAATGGTATCTATCATTAAATGAATAGACTGGTGTATAAGGAATATAAACATCATGTTCAAGAGATCATTCAAATTTATGTGGTACATATACTATTGTATCGTTATTCAGAAATGGCAAACGGTACATCATAGGTCAGAACTGAGAAAATGAACAGTGATTAAAACAATCACAACGTAATTGTGACTATAACAGTGAGAGTTGGTGACCGTTAACTGAAAATTGGGAACAAAGCGTTATTATAAACATGAAAGGTAAAGTAAATTGATAATTGCAATAGAGTAATAATTTGCGGTGGTGTACTCGGGACTATCTAACCAGTTACTATTGTATGCAATTAAAAGTTCTACTAACACATATTTCATTTTTACACCCTAATTTAAATAAATGAAAACATATAACACATGCATGCTCACCTGGTTAAATTGACGGCGATAGGGGATAACCATTGAAATACTCCATCACTGATTTCACTTTAAAGGCAACAATACATTATTGATTTAACAAACATCAATCTCTCAAAGTTTGGAGCATCAGTCCAGACACAAGTACATTGACGGTCTAGATATATCATCCGGTGAGTTATTCATATAATTACTAGAAGCGTGGTTAATACAGTCAGAATATGTCCAAATGACCTTGATACCTGTCAAATTGCACTGTCTTTAAAATGAAAATAAAATCATAAGTTGATCTAGTGTTCAATTTATATATAATTTTACTAAATTGTTATGAAAGGGCACATTTCATTGGTTTATCCATAACATAGAGCACCCGTTGCTTTTGATAGGCATCTTTTATGTTGACTGGTCTCTCTCTCCTTTTTTTTTTTTTTTTTTTTTTTTTTTACATTTCATGTATCATTTTCAGATTGCAGTAGCGGTGATCCATTTTGTATTTCGGTATATATAAGATGCATGGTATTGGACACAATTCTCTAGATATATTATAAACCTCATTTGTCTTTCGAAAAAATTACGGATCACTAAACATTTCATTTCCAGACACATTTGTACATCGATCATATATTCTAAAGAACCACCATAACTTAGTAGTGTCTTCATTGTCTTGGAAGTCCACACGACAATAAATCACTATGTTTACATTCAAAGACGATTATGTTCAACTTGCAAAGTTGAAAACGATAGGGGATATACAGTGAAATACGGGAACTCTGGTATCACGCCGAAGGCAATAATTCATTATTGGATATAGAAAGTCAGCAGTCCTTAAGGCTTGAAGCATCGGATCAGGCGATTAGAAAGACCATCTGGTAAGTCAATGTAGTGGGTTTTTCGTGTTTTTCCTAAACATCCCTTGGCAAGTGTGATAACGTGTGCTTTCAAAGTCGCATTAATAATTTCCACACTTCGTAACCCGAGGGATGTTTAATGATGAAATACAATTCTTTTGAAACTGACAATTTAACACTGTTCTATGGAGCTACTGGGGCGACAATATTTTGTTGTCGATATAGTGTTTTGAAAATTAAAGAGCTTGTATGCCACTAGGATGTCCAATGAAATTGGACTTGGTCTTAATCGATTCTTTCAGACGGAAACATGATCTTCCTCTACCCGTGTTCTTGTACATGTAGGGCACTGTGTTCCTCTTCCTACGATGGTTGGTTATTAGTGGTAATTTGAATGAAAAGATAACGGTTAATATACATTGCTAAGTCAAATCCTATACTACTCGGTCATAGGATACCTAGGGATACGTTGAAATAGGTTCTATTTGATCTGGTAAGGGTTGGTCACAAAAATGTTATGAGACAAATGCTTTATTTTTAGAAGAAAAAAGTGTACACTGTGGACTTCTCCATCATGGAAACCCGAAGAGTTCTGCTGCTAATAGTTCTGTGTGGAGGTATTGTTTCTTCAAATGCTGTGAAGGTAGGTTCAGACACACTCTTAGTATGATATATATGTCTATGGACTGTTGACACATGTTGGGAAACAGTACCTCATGGTAATGTGGAAATACTGAATCAATTAGCGCAAATTACAGTGTTTTTTTTTTTTTTTTTGGCAGTAATAGGATATATATGTGTGTGTGTGTGTGTGTGTGTGTGTGTGTGTGTGTGTGAACTGATTCATTTAAAAACGTGTATTTCTACTTTATTTTCAACGATCTGGAAAAATATTTTCAATAATCCTTACCAAGGACTTACCCTGAAATGTGTTTTCTACTTACATAATAATGTACATTTTTTTTTCATATTTCATAGGACTCCATTATAAAGTTAACTGAACACTGGATTTCTAAGATGAAGGCGTTCTTTGACATCGTTGACATGGATGGAGACGGAGTGGTCACTAAAGAGGAGTTCATTGACCTAAGAGCGCAGCGGGCTCAAAATGTCTTGGGATCTTGGAGAGCTAAGGCGGTATATGGTATCATTTCCCATTCTTATCGAACCTGGTGGTCTAACGAAAATACCAACTATAAAACATCCATAACATTTGAGGAATGGTTCACCGCTCTCGAGAAGAAAATTTATAATACAAATGAGGCATTCAACCAAAGCTCCTGGGATTGGTTTCACACATTTGACCTCGACTGCAATGACAAACTAACAGTAGACGAGTATTCCAAGTTTCTTACGATGTTCCGCAACACAGCCCCCGTTGAAAACGTATTTAATGCTATCGACCTGGACGGCAACGGAAGTATTGACGGTGAGGAATTCTTGAACGGAAACCATCATAAATGGTATGACGAAGCGCCAAATCCTGGTGAATTAATAATAGGATCCAGACATTGACATATTCAGCCAGTTTAAAAGAGTTTACGTTTGTATTTTATCCTATTGAATTGCAAACATCTTCATTTTTCAGAAATGTCAAGACTTCATTTCATATCTTTCACATTTGCGTATACTGCTGTTGTTTTACGGAAGTGTACATGCTCTTTGCTAAGTAGGTTTTTCTTACATTCGGGCATTTAAGCAGGACTGTACCTCAGATTTTTAATGTTTGGTGCTAGTGTTATGTATTCAGCTAAAATAAATAAAGAGGAATCTCTTCGCACATCTCGTAGAACTGATATTGATCCATTTGTTGAACATGCTTCCGAATCGAATTGATTACCACGTGTGATCAAAATTGTGCACCAACATTCATGTCTTTCTGTTCTCTCACAAATTCAAACCCTGGGTTGAGCCTTTAAAAAAAATCTTTTACACTTTGGAAAACCGCTGTTTCGTAAAACGGAATCTCTCAGGACCACGAGGTTTTCCTTCCTTATGTACTTAATATACCAAATAAGTCATCTTTAGAAGACCATGCATCCGAGAAACAGAAAGCTAGCGCTGGTAGGAACTATAATAGTCTGATTGCCCGGTAGAATGTCTTTTTCGGTGCGCATATACCGGTGAATTTGAGTTTTATGCGAAAAAAAAAATCTAGGCGACCTGCTTAACCCTCAAGAGACCAAGCTATTTTACTGACTGAAATGACCAAGTGGGGTCATCTATGACCCCATTGTGCTCTGTACAGGGATCCTTATTATAAAATGCTGTTGAGGGTTTATCACACCTATGCTACTCCCAGGATTTAAGACAAGTATTTTATAATGATCTAATGTAATAAGTATTTGGTAATAATACTTTTATTGCATGAAATAACCAAGCACATATTTTAAGAACAACATAACACCGGTATTTAGACAGTCCTTGTCAGTTTCCACTTGCAGAAATATTTCTCTTTTTATTTGCCACACTAAATGAAAAAAGTACATTACAAAGTTACTTTGAGTAAAAATATTTTGACTTATGTTGAGATAGCATCCTGATAACTTCAATAAGAATAATTAGCTGACTTGCTGAGTAAGGAATACCCAAATGCTGGTAAGGAAGTCATACTACTCAGAACACATTCAATCAACCTACATGTATGTTACTACCACATCTGTGTATAAAACAAAATCCACACAAACAATTTGTTAATATATGTATAATATGATATCGACAGAATTCTTTAGATTTCCAAAATACCCGAAAATTGTAACCGTCAAAATGAGAGACCCAGTTATGAGAACAAGTTCCAGCAAAGCTACTGAAATTAGATCCAGCGATGCACTATTAGTAACACTTCTAGCATAATCTTCACAAACCACTTATTTGTGCCTATGTTTTGGGCACACTGGCTGGTTGCATGAAGCACATGCATGTGACATTTTCCTGTCAGTGTTGCATGGGCAAACATTGGAATTAAATTTAAAAACTAATATTTAAAAACCAATGCTTCGCTTTGGGGTCATAAATGACCCTACAAGAGTTTGTGATGTATACGCCACACTAATTGGTTGATCCCTACAAAAAACTGGGAAAGTGTGTAGGATTAGTAGACTGACAAACTCACGCAAGGAAAGAAAATTCGAATAAAAAATAAAGAGTTGGCACATTAAATCATATGGCTGGGGTCGCAAATGACCCCACTCGGTCACTTGAGGGTTAAGAATGGATTTTCACGTTTACATTCAAAGACAACAAAGTCCACTTGTAAAACTGAAGGTTTCACCGTTGACCCTGTGACACATCAGTGTCACCTAGAATGTAATACAAGATTATCGTTTCTTCGAAATCTTTTCCAAACATTGCTTTGAAGAAGGGATCTGGCAAGACCCGTTTACACTGGAAGGCGACCTTAATGCGGATATGATATTGGCAAGATAGAAGTTGTAAAAATGACAGTCATCAAACTGAGAGCTCTGTTGAGAATGAATATTGTTAGTAGCATATTGAAATGGAAGTCGGTTGTTTGAGTGAGGCAATTGCTAGGATTGGTTTCACACATTTGACCTCGATAACAATGTCAAACTGAAAGTACATGGGTATCCTAACCTTCTATCGGAGTTGAGCTACACGCCCTCCATGCAAATTGCATGTATATTGAAAGCTATCGAAAGAGATGAGAATGACACTTTTTTACGGTGAGGAATTCATATATGATTTCCAGGATATATGGTTAAGTGGAATACCGAATGAGTATGAACTGATATTAGGTCCCCGAAATTGACGATGTCAGTTGAAGTGTAAAAGCAATCCGTTTGTTACTTTCCCGTACGGTCGAACGCTCTCACATGACTTGTTCATGTTTTTTAGAACTGCCAATTCTTTGCTGTTTCCGCCCATTATAACATAGGTGCTGTGTTACAGCTAAGATTGTGGGGAACAACATTTTTCAATATCGTTTTCTATCAAACTCTTGCTCCAACAGAACTGTGCTTTCTTTTTCAGGTCTTAGTATCGCATATTCAGTTGAACGGAATAAAATGTACGTATTCCTATTTTGCGTAGCATGGCAATATATAATAAGTCTGTTTATGTGTCCTTCACTTTGCAAAATATGTCGTAAATAAAATAAATAAAACGTCGTAAATTATGATTTCCATATGTTATCCATTTGGTAAAATTAGAAATGCGTAGAAATGCACTCCTCAGCCATATGGGATATTTCATCATTAAAAAGTTATCAAGTATTTGGCGTGTTCTTTCTACAAAATTCTTTTCCGAAAAACACGTTAACTGATACAACATGGCGCTTTCATTTATATGTTTCCAAATATACATCTTTACTATATATCTTTTAATTTTTGCTGAGGATGTATCGATGAAACCTCAGCAATCAATTTTTGTTGAAAGCACTCAAAACTTATTTTTTCAACTGACAACCCAAATGCAAATGTTGTTTAGTGTAACATTGAAAGATGAAAAGTGAAGATATACACTTATTCCGTAATGCTGGCGGAGATTTACAACTGGATATGGAACCACCACTGAGCGCAATAAAAAATCCTGTAACACAAAAAAATACATCAGTCCCTTAACACAGCGGATCCTTCAAGACACGGTTCTTTGGAAACAGTACATGTAGATGAACAAGCTGGAAAGCGATGCTGACAACGGCCCAAATTGATGTTTGTGACCGACGTAAGATTCTATCAAGCTTACCCACGATTTTTAGCTCAATCACCAAGTTAAATAATTTCAAGTTAAGCTAAATATTTTGAGTGCCTTTTGCACACAAATTGGTCTATCGTACATGCAATCAGTTTATAACCGAAGCAATTCCCACTGCTTTATGATTGAATAATCAAGCAAGTAATATGTTCGATTAATATGCGTTGAATTTGTTTTGGTACCCCCTCTCATATACAGAGGTTGATCTGTAAATGTGGGCTAATCGCAATGCATGTCTGCTCGTATTGTTTTGGATCTTTCTGATCCGAATGGCTTCTTTAATGTCTTTAGTCTTCTTTATATATATATATATGTGTGTGTGTGTGTGTGTGTTTTCAGAAGCCCTGACAAGGAAAACTATATATAAAAAAATGCCAGCAATCAAATTGGGAGTTCTGTTTCTTGTGGTTGTTGTTGAATCCATTGTTAGTTCAAATGATGTGGTAGGTCCAGGCATGCGTTCAAATATTTGTCTATGTCTGCAACTTAAGCTTAATACCAGAAGTTATAATAGCTTAGTCTCAAAGGAACCATTAGGTGCTAACGAAAAACTTCTGGGTCCAATCTATTTGCATTGCAGGTAGCTTGGAATAGGTGGATTATCAAAGAACATCGGTTGTGTATATTTTTGCGATTGGTTTCACACATTTGACTCCGACTGCGATGACAAGCTGACAGTAGACGAGTATTCCAACTTGCTTTTCTTCCTTCGCAACACCACCCGAGTCCAAGACATCTTTCAAGACATCGATCAGAATGGTAATGCTTATATTGATGGTGAGGAATTCTTGAACGGGTTTCAGCATATATGGTATGACATAAAGGCTGACCCTGCAGATTTTATTTTTGATCGTTATAGTTTTTTTTTCTTTAAAATTGTGTGGCTCTGACATTATTCAGAAGAGACTATATCTTGCATTGCTAACATTTCCAGAATAGAGTACAATGTTGTTGAGTTTAAACTGAGACGATGGGTGTTTAGTACAGCTTTTGGATTGGTTTCACTATTCCGTATTCCTACTTAGGCCTTTGCTTTTTCTTTTACTCATTGGTGAAACAGTGTTTATTCAGCTCGTTTAATAAAATATATCCTCATATTTTTCATTCGCATAGTATTGTTTTTGATTCATGCCTTACTTGCGGTTTTCATTGTTTGAGATTTAATGTGAAAACTTAATTTCGATTAATAAGAAAGTGCGCTTAACATGATATTAAAATAATATTAATGAAATAAATACGTGTGTGTATGCGCTAGTCATGTTAACCTGCAAAAGCCGAAAATGAGATAGTACTTTGAGTAAGGCACTGGTCTATAAAATAGAATAAAAACAAATGTTGAAGGTACAACCCACATTCGTCAAAGGGGTTTTAAGTTGTACATTCTATTTGTTTTGGATATTCATCTGAATACAAATCTAAAGGAATGGACTGTAGACAGCTTGAATGACAGCATACAACATGTAAAAGATGACCTTCTACTACAAGTTGGATGCAAGAACAAGCAAGGCAATACAAAAACATGCTCGAATGATAGAAAAAAATGTTACGCACAGAATGTATTTAAATGCCAAACTTACTAAGTCATGCTTCTTCAATGTTTGCAATCGATTTAGTTTGACAGAGTTTATGTACCCTGTAGGCGGCGGCCGCTACAGCACTAAAGACACTGACCAAAGATAATCCGCCAAGCTTGTTATAAGCCAATATATCCCAATGCAAAGGTTGGGCGTGAACCAATGTAATGCACTGTACCTGGTTTAGGTGTGAAAGATAATGTTTGTTTGTAGTTTGCATCGCCTTACTCGGCAGCTGGGCATATTGCAGTAGCAGTGACACGCTTTAATATTACAGCATATATACAATGTATGATATTAGACGAACATCTTGAATATGTTTTAAACTGCATACCGTAGGTTCATTCGTAAAAATACTACTCACCAAATTTCTTATTGGGTTTGCAAATATATCTTAATCGATCATATATTCTAAAGAACCAGCATAACTTAATAGGGTTTTCATTGTCTTGGAAGCCCACACGACAATACATGACAATGTCTACATTTAAAGACAATTATGTTCAACTTGTTAAGGTGACGACGATAGGGGAATATACAGTGGAATACGGGATCACTGATATCTCGCCGAAGGCAATAATACATTATTCGATACAAACAGACATCACTCTTTAAGACTTGAAGCATTGGATCATACACGAATCTATTAGACGGGAAGAAAGACCATCTAGTAAGTTACGTGTATTGGATTTCACAGTACCAGTTTGTTCAAAACATACCTTGGTAAGGGTGATAATTTGTGTTTAGAAAGGTTGAAAATTAATAGGAGGCACGACCAATGAATGAATTTAGCCGTCGAATTATATGTCATATTAAAACCCATCAGTAAAAAACGAATGGACAGTGACGTGCTAGGGTATGATAATAAGGACTACGTTATATCTATTTCCAGCAACAACTATTTAAACAATTTAGAAGCGTGTGGAAAGTTCAGATCTATTAACTTGGATACTAGCTCTAAGAGCCACACTGATAATTTTATAGCTCGTTATCGATGGGGTGTTTGATAATAAAATGCAATTATTTTGAGACTGACAATTAAACGCTGTTTTATGGAGGCACTGGGCCGACAATATTTATATGGTACCGATGTCGTATTTTGAAAATTACGGCAGCTGTATACGGCTATGGTGTTCAATCAGTTGGCTTGGTTTGGTATTTGGATGGTGTTTAATCGATTCTGTCAGACATAAATGTGGTTTTGTAAATATAGACCACTGTGTTGTTGTTCAGACTATGGCCTGTCATTAATTATAATATGAATTAAATGGATATTAGTGGTCGATATACTCCTCAGTCAAAGGTAACCTAGGATATGTTCACATGGTTCAGATTGTTCTATAGCTGGTTCAAATTAGTCACAAAAATATACTTCATTTGTAGGAAACCATACACGATCACCGTGGACTTTCCCATCATGGAAACTCGAAGAGTTCTTCTGCTAGTAGTCCTGTGGGGAGGTATTGTTTCCTCAAATGCTGTGAAGGTAGGTTCAGGCACACTCCCACTATAGTTTTTATCTACGGGCTGTTGCTACCGGTTGAGTACCAGTACCTCATGGAAATACTAAATAAAATAGTGTGTTTTGTTTGCAGTAATAGAATATACCTGTGTGTGTGTGTGTGTGTGTGTGTGTGTAGTGCTTTTGCTTCATTTTTAACATGTATTCCAACTTTATTTTCAACGATAACTATTCCAAAATTGTTTTCACTGACCATTGGCATTGCCTAACCCTAAACTGTAGCAGTGTTCTTCTAATTACATACTACTGTACATTTTTCGTATCTGGTTACATGTTTTTTTAGGAATCCAATATAAAGTTTACTGAACACTGGGTTTCTAAGATGAAGGCGCTCTTTGACCTCGTTGACATGGATGGAGACGGTGTGGTCACTAAGGAAGAGTTCATTGACTTAAGAGCGCAGCGGGCTCAAAATGTCTTGGAATCTTGGAGAGCTAAGGCGGTATATGGTATCATTTCCCATTCTTATAGAACCTGGTGGTCCAACGAAAACACCAACTTTGCAACATCCATTACCTTTGGAGAGGTGCTCCCAGCTCTCGAGAAGGAGGTCGATGATTCTAGTGAGGCAGTCGACATAAACGCTTGGGATTGGTTCCACACATTTGACCTGGACTGCAATGACAAACTGACAGAAGACGAGTATTCCAAGTTCATTGCGGTGTTCCGCAACACAGCCCCTGTTGAATTAGTATTTAAAGCTACCGACTTGGACGGCAACGGTAGTATAGATGGTGAAGAATTCTTGAACGGAATGCATCACACATGGTATGACGAGGCGCCTAATCCTGGTGAATTCTTAATTGCCTCCAGAAATTGACAAATTCAGCTGGAGCAAAATAGTTTCTTTTTGATATTTATCCAGTTCGATTGCACATTTCTTCTTCGTTTATTTTCAGAAATATCGCTGCTTCATTTTATTTCTTGTACATTTAAGTCCACTGTTGTGTTATGGGATTGAACACATACTTTGCTTGCTACGTTTTTATTACTTTGTGTTCTTTAAAGCATTTAATCAGTGCACTTCAAATTTTTAACGTTTGGTTCTATTGTTGTGAATTCAGCTTAATGAAATAAAAAGATGTCTTTGCACATCGAACTGTAATCGGTACATTTGTAAAGCATGCTTTCCAAACGAATTTGCAAACAAATGCCATCGAAAACGTTCATTAAAATTTATGCATTTCTGTTTTCTCAGTGATGACAGTAACAAAATCTAAAAACCCGGATTATTATTTTTTAAT